GAGCAAGGTTTTGTTTAAATAACAAACCAATTTTTAAAAAATAATAAAAATAGGATAAGAGAAGATAAAAAATCCTCAAATGCCTCCTATTCCTATTATCCTGAATTCTGTGATATGGCAAATTATTCTCCTCCATATTTACCACTTCGTATAGGACTTTATAAATGGAAGTTTCCACCGAATGTGAAGTCATTATTTGAGAGTTGTGCACGCGCAGGAGGGTTTCCATGCCAGTGTCGCACACATCCCGTGTTCTCCCGCCCCACCATGGGTGGCAGCAGTGGCCACCGTCTGTTGAACGCCCGCGATGCGTTTGGGAGAGCATGCTGAGCGTATCATGCACGCAGCGTCATTCCATCCTGCCAACAGTCTCTGGACGCCGGCGCTAGTAACCAGCACGTTTTACCAGTGAGAACCACTCACAGGATGTGCCGTCTTCCTAGGTTCACATAGTGAGTGGCGGAGGCAAGCTTTGTGTGCACACAGCTTGGCTCTGGGACCTGTGTCTGTGTCCCAGGTGTGGCGCTGCCTCCCGTGCGTCATGCTGGAGTGGGTTCTCTTGCCTGCATCCGGGACCTTCTGTTCTGGAGGGGTCTTTCTGCCGATGAGATGCCACCCAGCACTGTCTCTCGTCCCTGCAGGAGCCCCCATTCTGTCTGTCCTGTGCTCTACACCTTGGAAAGCTCTCGAAGCAGCTGCTCCTTCTCCTTGAAAGAGACCTGAATTTAGTGAAGCAGCCTGACTCCACAGAGAAAATGAAGCCTTTTGTTGCAAGCATGAGCAGAAACCCAAACACTTGAGGTTCTTGACAAATAACCAATATTAGAAACAGGCAGAGCTAGTTTTTCGGTTGGGAAAGTCAGAGCCCATGGTGGTGTGGACATCAGCATCCCTGCCTCTTCTGTCTGGCTCATCAGACTGGAGGGGATAGAGTTGTTTCTCTTGGCTGAGGATGGGGATTTCTGTGGGCCCAAAGCAAACAGGTGGAGTGTCTCTTGAGAATTAAGAGGTGATTTTATATAGAGCTCTGTCAGTCTGGATGTCATGGGCTGTCTGCTGTGTCTAAGAGCCTCGGCAGGGCTTGAGGGAGCCCAGAGAGGAGGAATAGCCCTGCCACACCTCAGGAGCTCTGGTCTGGGGGACACAGACACACCAACCTCCTCTTCCAGCCCAGAGCAGGAGTCTCTCCGGATGCCCAACCCGGAATCCATGTGTCTTGAAGAAAACGATGTCTAAGCTACAGATCGAGGAGTAATCAGGGGTTAACTCTGAGTGTTTTGGGGCAAGAGAGGGGAGTAGCGTGCAGGGAAACAGTGGTCCAGGAAGAGGGAACACTCGTGCACCCCCTGCTGGCTGGAAGAGGCTCCACTGGTTGGAGAGGGTCAGGTGCAGGTGGAGGCCTCTGAGCAGAGACCCTGGGTGGGGGGCGCAGAGCCTCTGAGGGTGCTCGCTAGTCGGGCTGGTACCCCAAGACTTGGGTGATTCATCAAAGTCTCTACGTGAGGAGTGCATCTGATCTCAAGAAAGCTGCTCTACGTGAGAAGTGCATCTGATCTCAAGAAAGCTGCTCTGCAGCCTGAGGCGTGAGCTTGAGGGGGTCCACGTAGAGGCGGAGGGTCAGATGGGAGGCTGCGGGAGCAGTGACAGAGACAGATGGACCTGGACCAGGTCGTAGAAACCATAGGAGTGGAGAAGGTGGTAGAACCACGGGCACGTAATGGTAAGGCTCCACTGCGCTTTGTGATTGGTCCGGAGCGGCTGTGAAGCAGAGGGAGCATCCTGGTGAGGCTGTGACCTGGGGACTCTGCCGTGCAGCACCCTGAGCTGCGGTGTCCCGGGAACGTCAGGTGGCGGACTGGCCTGTGGCAGGTGGAGTCTGCAGCTTCGCGCTCACCGTGGACGTGCTCAGCCTTGCTCCAGATCCCAGCAGTGTGAATCTGGACACAGGACTTCTCTGCGTGCCTCTACTCTGTCATCTGTGAAAGGGGATAGCAGACCATTTTCATGTTCTTCTGAGGATATATTGTGTCCGTAGAGTCGAGCATCTAGAAGAGCCTGAGGCATGGACAGAATATTCCCAAGCTACAAATTAGGAAATGTGAACTCATTTGAAGCAACGGGAATCAACCACTTCTTAGGCACCAGTGTTGAGATTCAAGAACATTCTCTCAGGCCTTTTCCATGCCTGGCTACCCAGGCAATAAATGTAGTTTTATTCATTTTGAAAATTAAGGTTCTGTTTGCGTAGAGTCATATAGTGGAGTGCCGGCACCCCCTGCATTCCTGCTTCCCCCAGTGTAGACAAGCCCTTCTCCACCTCCACCCTATAGGTGTGCCTTTTCCAGAGTGTTTTGAAGATAGAATCACATGGTATGTAGCCTTTTGAGTTTGTCTTGTTTTACTTCTCAGAGCGCATTTGAGATTCATCCATGTGGTGTGTAACAGGAGCTTGATTTTTTTTTTATTTTTATTTTTATTACCGAGTAGTGTTGCATTGTATGGATTCACCTCTTGAGGGACTTTTGAGTAGTTTCTAGTTTTTGATGATTACAGAGAAAACTACTGTAAACATGGACATGCAGGGTTTCGTGGGAGTGTTAGGTTTGCGGTTCATCGGGTCAAGACTTAGGAGTACAGTTGCTGGGCTGTATGGGGAGTGCATTTCTGACTTCATGAGAAACTGTCTTGTGCTTTTCTGCAGTTGCTGACCTTGTTTTGCATTCAACCCAGCAGCCTACGCAACAGCACTTGAGATTGTCAGGTCTTTTTTTTTTTGCAATTCTAATAGGTGTTAGTGATATTTCACTATGGTTTTAATTTGCATTTCCCTGGTGACTAATGATGCTTAGCATCTTTTCAAGGGCTTATTTGCCATCCGTATATCTTCTTTGGCAAAGTGTCTTTTCAAATATTTGGCCTATTTGGGGGGAAGACTGTTTTCTCATTATTGAGTTTTAAGTGTTCTTTGGATATGCTGTATACAAATCTTGATCAGACATGTGTTTGCAATTACTTTCTCCTAGTGTGTGACTCATCTTTTATTATCTTAGCAGTGTGTTTTAAAGAGCAGAAGTTTTTATTTTGATGAACTACAGTTTATTTTTTTCTTTTACAAATTGTGCTTTTGGTGTCCTATCTAAGAAATTGCTGCTTAGCCCATCACATGTGTCTTCTAGAAGTTGTGTAGTTTTAAGTTTTATGTTTAAGATGTATGATCCACTTAAAATTAATTTTTGTATAGGGTGTGAGGTATGGAACCAGTTTCACTTGTGGGGGGGTCCTGTGTTCCTTTGTTGCAAACAGTTGACCATATATATTCAGGGTATTATGTTAAAGTGGGCTTTTGCTGTCAAAAAACAAAATTCAACTGAGTAAATTTGAAGATATAATTGGCCTTAGTCAATGATTTACAAATTGGACAGCATCCCATCTAGTAAGTAGAAAGGAGCTCTGAAGAGCTGAATAAAATGAGACTTTTATAGGCAGAAGGGGACAGCTACAAGGAAAGAGCAGGCTACCTCTTCCTTCTTCGAGGGATGGAAGGGGCTGTCAGGTGGATTACGTCAGTAGTGCTGACCAGAAAGTTCCAGATTGACTAGTTTTTGTTTTTTTTTTTTTTAAGATATTATTTATTTATTTGAGAGAGAGAGAGCACACAAGCAGGGGGAGGGGCAATGGGAGAGGGAGAAGCAGGCTCCCTGCTGAGCAAGGAGCCCGACACGGTTGGGGCTCGATCCCAGGACCCCGGGATCAGTGACCTGAGCTGAAGGCAGATGCTTATCTGACTGGGCCACCCAGGCGCCCCTCCAGATTGAGTAGTTTAATCTTACATTCCTGGGAGAGGCTGAAACTGCAGTTCGTTTAGGTATGAAGCCTTGGTTTGCTGACATGGAGTTTAGCACAAGTGACTGCATTTTGATTGATTGATTGATTTTTTTTTTTTAACACTACTTTTTTGCTTTCAGAAAATAATGCTAACAGTTGTTTATGTAGTAAGGGTAGTATTTTCCAGTGTTCAAAGTGTTATCCTGTTTTCTTTTCAGCTTGATTTTGAACTTTAATACAACCTCTGGATGTCCTTGGCATGAGCATTATTTCTCCCATTTCATTCTGGGAGGTGGAGCCCAGCGTGGTACAAGGAGTTACATAGAGTCACAGATAGAGGAGGGACCCACCATGGTCAGAACACTTGAAAATCCACGAGCTTTTCCCATGAGGGTGTAGCTGGGGCTCAGGCTGCCCACTGAACTGAGTTTTGATTCTGTCTCTGTTCACTTCTCACGGTGTGATCAGTGGCGGAGGAATTATCTTCTCCATTGGCAGGTTCCTTGCTGTCCAACAGCCAGCTCCCTGTCAGACATCTGTTGGAATGAGAGATAAAATATACAGGGGTCCTAGCGCAGCACATAGCATGTAGTAGGATCCATCATGATTACCATCACTCTTATTTTTTGAGACTGTGTATTTTCTGGATGATCCAAAATATGAACATAAGAGATAAAGTTACTAGAGAAAAAACACGGATTCCTGATTAAGGGATACACGGATATACAGAAAACAGTTTTGGAGTGGAACAAGGACAATCATTTTAGATGTTGAATGTGAAGGAACTGCAGTGATTTGAATGGTAGGGAATTAGGGATTTGAATGGTAGGGAATCTGTGAAGACACAGATCTTCATCCGCCATAGCTTCATTAGGGTTAAGGAGAAAATCACACAAAAGCTTAGCGCAGTATAGACATTCAGTCAACAGGCAATAACTGTTGGCCTCTGTTAAATTATTAGGTGTCAAGATAACCATGTAACAAATCACCATTGTTTGTGGATCAGAGGTTTTTTTCTTTGCTCTGTTTTTGTTGTGTTTGGTAATCTTATCGTCTCATCTAGAAAGTGATCTTTCCCTTCTTGCTATGTCTGTGGTTCTTCCTTGTAATTACAGATTTGTATTAGCATTTGCCAGACTGCACTAGGCTCAGCATTCTTTGCTCTTGGTTTGCAGGGGGCTGCGTTGAAGTACTTGCCAACTATTGTCAACGATGTGAAGTTGGTGTTCGATCCCAAAGAGCTCAGGTAAGGAAGCACCTGAGGGGCAGCACGTCCTTCACTCTGCCTCCTTTCCCTGCAGGGAGCTTATGAGAGACTCGAGGCTCAGTCTCATGCTGGCAGACATCAGTGCCCTGGATCATTCTAGAACAAACACATGCTGGTTGTGGTGTCTATGACACTTCCCTAATTGTGACTTTATATGGAAAAGACGTCATCTGTCAACACAGTATTTTCTTTAGAGGATTGCTTGTGGGCCAATGGGTAGATCATACAAATTTGGCATTTTGTATTCTTTCGAGGTTGAATTTCACAATGTGGTGGTTGGGTTTTTGTTTTGTTTTCAGCACCTGAAATACCTGACACTGGAGGTTTACTATTCACTCCCCTCCCCTGCCTCTCAGCATGCACAACCGCTCTTCATGCGCTCCTAAGTGACGGACTGCAAGCCTCAGGCAGAATGGTCAGGAGTTGTCACTTAAGATAATATTAACAAAACCACAGCAAACCTCAAGGAAGCTGGTTGTTGGGCTTTCAGACCAAGGAGGGAGGCTGGGGACCTAATCCTTTCTTTTTGCACCTGTTTTTCCCATCCTGGCTGCTGAGCCCAGTCCTACTTGTGTAATCTGTAGATGCCCTGTGTTCTGCAAGACTGTTGAGTGCCATTGGGATGTGCAGCCTTTTTAACCCCAGACATCTAAAGCACAGCCCTATTCTGCTTTTGATTTTGGTTTTGATTTAACATTTGACGCCATAAACTACCTGCAGGGGATGGCACCATTTTTTTAGCAGCCAGGAAGCCCATCTAAATATTAGTAAAGGTCCATGTGTCCCCTGAGGGGTGAAACTGAATAAAAAATGCTCATCCCTCCCATTCTTTATGTCTACTGTAGGTTGCTCATGCCCGGGAGGGGAGGGGTGAGGAGCTTTTGGGGGTGGGGTGCTCTCCTTCACGAATCACCAGGTTTCTGATGTGCCTGAGGATTTAGTGTCCTGCACGGACACATTATTTTCTGCTCGAGGGCACTGACAATGTGGGGCATGTCTTAGCACGCCCTAAACGAGAACAGGAGATGTAAATGGGCCCATCGGCAGCAAGTCTGCCCTCGGCCTGCCGCTGCAACATGACTGTCAGCAGAACCTATCAGCAGCTCCTGAGGACTTGTTAGAAAATGCTGACTCTCAGGCCTTGTCCCAGCTCTTCTGAGTTAGGAATGGGGGGTGGGGTCCAACTGGTCAGTTTTAATGACCCTTCCAGGCGCTTCTAGTGAAGACTCTCGTTTGAGAGCTTCCGGTCTGGAGAACAGAGCAAGTGGGGGAAGCAGTGGTTGGGTGGGCCGTACTCTGGGATGGGATCAGACTCTTCACCAGTTAGTGGAGCGGTCCATGTTCACAGTGGGTGCTGGCGCCAGTGCTTGGAGAGCCAAGGAAGACCCCCTTCTCCAGGGCCAGTGCAGACTGCTCTTGGTCCCTTGTCTCTTTATGCATGCCTGCGTGCTGCTTCAACACCTTACATGTTTTTTTTAAAGATTAATTTATTTATTAGCGAGAACGCGTGCGTGTGCTAGTGCAGGGAGGGACACAGGGAGAGAATCTCAAGCAGACTCCCCACTGAATGTGAAGCCTGGTACAGGGCTCGATCTCACAACCCAGGAGGTCATGACCTGAGCCGAAACCAAGAGTCAGTTGCTTAACCAACTGAACCACCCAGGTGCCTCACCTTATCTACTGATTTTTTTTAAATGATCTTGTAAATCATATATGTATTTTTTCCGTTTTAGAAAATAGATTGATGTTCTGATGAAACAGAAGAGATCAGAGAGGAGAATAAATCAAAGTTAATTCCACTGCCTAAAAACAACTAGAAGGACCTGGATTTGCACACATGCACATATATACACATTCATGTGTATACACGTATTCCCCTGAAAAATTCAACACAGTCATATTCTTTATTCTACAATCAGCTTCTGCATGTAAGACCTCTTGTTTTCCCACACCTTGGAGTAGTCTTCTACATCATAATTCCTAATAACTTCCATGGTGTTCGATCCTATGCTGGCCCATCATTTATTTCAGTAGCAACAGTCGGCACTGACATCAATTATGTGCTTTCTCCATACAGAAGAGGCGCCACACAAAGCACTTTCCATGTATTGTTCATTTAATCTTTGCAACAGTGGTATGGCATTGGTTCTGTTATTAGCCCACTTTTATGCTAAGTAACTCATCCCTGAGAACTGAGCTGCTCAGTGGTAGTGCTTCAAGGCCAACCCAGCTTTTTGATTACAGTGAACAGGCCTCTTTGCTCTAGGGGTGCTAGGTTCAGTTTCGGTTTTAATTATTATGCAATACGCTAGGATAAATTCTTTTGTAGCTTGATTGTAGTATCTTGCTCTTATTTACATCATTAGGATAAACAGTAACGTGGGATTACCAGGTCTTATGTTTTCTCTTTCCTTTTTTCTTTTTTTGCATTTTCTTAAAAGATTTTTAATAAATATTATTCAGTTGCCCTCTAAAGGTCAGAGCAACCTTCTGCCAAAGTATGGTGGTGTCTGTCTTCCCAAACTTTGCCAGTACTTGGAATTACTATTTTATAGAAACTTGCTGATAATTATTGGTGAAAGGCTTTTCTTTGTTGCTAACAGGAACCCTTCTTCTAAGACTCTATATTTTTATTGACTGTTTGTAAAAGTAAAGTTTAAAAAAAAAAATCTCCAGTGAGAATAATTCGCATATATAAAGTTCACCAGTTTTAGAGTGTTTAATTAAATGGCATTCAGTATTTTTTACAGAGTTGTGTGCCTATCGTCAAGATCCAATTATGGGGCAGTTTCATCACCCGTCAGATACCCGGTGGTCATTAATAGTCATTTTCTGTCTCCTCCCCAGCCGTTTTGTATTTGTGGCTCTGCCTTTTCCAGGCTTGTTATATGAATGAAATTATATAATATGTGGCCTTTTGTGTCTGGCTCCATTCCTTAGCATAATGTTTTCAAGGTTCATCCGTGTTGCAGCGTATGTCAGAACTTCATTCCTTGATACGGATAAATTTTATACTACATCTTGTTTATCCACTGCTCGGGTGATGGACATCTGGGTTTTTCCCCCACTGAGTATGAAGAGTAATGTTGCTGTGATTCATGTACCAAGTTGTGTGTTGGATATGTATTTTCATTTCTTTTGGGTATATATACCTGGGAGTAGAAATGCTGGATCATATGGTAACTGGGTTTAACATTTTCAGGAAATATCCAGCAGTTTCCCGAAGTGGCTGCACCAATTTACATTCCCACCAGCATGATATGAGTTTCAGTTTCCTCATATCCTAGCCAACATTTGTTGTTATCTGTCTTTTGGATTACAGCCCTTTGAGTGGGTACGAAGTGAAAAATAACATTTTAAAGCATCATTTTATTGGATGAGATTTTGGCCCATATTGGATAATGGGCAATCTCCAACATTCTGGTAGCGCTTAATCACCATTTAATAACCTTGTAGCTTGGTAGCGTCTTGAACACAGTGGATCATTTTGCTGTATATCTATCCCTAAACTCTTTTCACTTGTGTTTTTCATTATAGCAAAATGTTTACTGATTTCATCCTAAATGTTCCCATGGGTTTGCTGACCATTCAGAAGCTGTATTGCTTGATTGAAATCATTCACAGTGACCTCTTCACACACCACGGTGAGTCGAACCCTGAGAACCATGAAATTGTCACATCATTGTCTAAAGGCCTTGTCCCTTCTGAATTCTCTCCTCCATGCCAACAGGAGTTGAGGTTGCAACCAATTAAAACAGCTCCATTACAAGACAGGAAGATTTAGCCCCTACAAGAAGAATGGTAATTGACACACAGTGGAGTAATAGATCATTGAAAGATGAAGGGGAAAACCTCGTAGTCTGTAATTTAGGTGTACACCAAAGCCCTAAGATAATCAGCGTACATTGTAGCCTTTAAGATGTGTGATTGTCTATCCTGGGGAGGCAATCACCTGCTTCCATTCAGATGATTGCAAAGAAAAATGTCAAGTTTTCTTTAAATTTAGAAATAATGGTTGTCTTCCCTCAATTTTGCATTCTTTGACAGGGTTTCCTCAAACCCTGCTCAAAGTAATAAGAATTTTAATGATTCCTCAACTCATTTATCCTGAGGAACACCTTCTATTTCCCCACCTTATCTCCCTACCCTTTTTATTAATCATTTTCTTTCTCTTTGGACAGATTGAATTAATATTTTACACTTGTCAAGCAGTTTTATTGAAAGCTTAAAACCTTTGCATAATTCCACAACCTTTCTCATTTAGTGGAGGCAGATGTGGGGACCGGGGAGTGACATTCTGACTGAGAGGCACAGATTTCTACTCTCGCGTCTGTGTTCAGATATTTGGCTCTTGCATTCATTTTCTTTTGTCCTCGTGTGTGGTGTTTCAGGGTGGAGCAGCCTGGCTGGGGATTTCCTGTGGAGCTCCTGGCTGCGCCGAGAACTCAGTGTATGTCTAGATTAGTCTTTTGTATCTTCTGGGCTCCTGGACCCTGTGCTTTCCTGCTGGTTTTAAACTGATTTCTTGATTGAACTTTATCACTGCACTGGAGTTTACGCGTACAGCTAAGGCTTCTGTTAAGCGAAAATGTTAAGACTTCATTTGAGTGGGAGTGTTTCTTTTTTGAGAGAAACCAGCAAACCAAGAAGTGAGTGGGTTTCTGCATCGCCTCCAAACCTCTGTGTCTGGGCCACAAGCCCATTGCTCACTTGCATAAATGAAAGTCAGCTCCCCTATTGCCATAGGTTGGGATTCAAAAGCACATAAATCTCTTTAAGCTACCAATCCTGGCTGTCCATGCTTTAGGGTCTCGTTGGAGGGCTGGGTCTTGAGTTATTCATCTTCCAGGTGTCTTCTAAAGTTTGGTGAAACTATGGGGTTCAAGAAGGCATGATGATGGGGGTGACGGGTGGGGACTTCGGCTTCATTGTTTCTTTCCATATTGATGACATTTTTACCAGAACAAGTAAAATCCCCTGAAAGTTTCCTATTTGGATTATACTAGGGAAGTTATTGATGTCCCTTCTCCTAACCATCCAACCCCAAGACACACACCACCACCACCACCACCACCACCAACCTCTTCACTGAATGAACAATTATCAATTAATAACAATTGTCAGTGGATTGATTATTCTTTTACTGACTGTTGATATAGGGAAGTCCTTCTTCCTTGAATTGCATAATTTCTGTTGCAAAACTTTGTGCCACATATCACTTAGCTGTCTTCGAATAAGGACCTAAAACATAAATGGTTCAATTAAGAATATTTTAAAATAGAACTTCTTTTAAGAATACATTTCAAGGGAATGTTTTCTTCTAGTGAAACTTAACTTCATTTCCTTAGCTAGTAGAAAGCTGGAAGGGACCCTTTCTATTTATTTTTGGTAATTTTGTCAGCCGTGGTATTTGGTGACTGTCCGGTTGTGTGAAATATGTGCATCGACACTGAGCGTGTGCTCTAAGAGCCACAGTTCACCCGAAGCCTCATGTCTTAGAAGCAGCCCCCCAGCTGCCCAGTCAGTACCCTTGTCTTAAGCCACCACAGGCAGCCCAGACTCACTTCCAGATGCTGACGGGTGATCCGAAAGTGTTTTAGAATACATTGTCCAATGTCCAATGTGAAAAAGCCCCACGCCCGCCCCCCTGCCTGCCTGCAGGCTTTAAGTGTTAAGAATCTTTCTGGGAAGGGATCTCGAAGACAACCCTGATTTTTCTCATCTGCAGGCTCCCTGCTTCTTCAAGGCAGCCTACAGCCGTCTTCCCTCCTTGTCAGGAAAGATGAATCAGTGGAAGTCTTCCGGTTGGTCTGTTCTCACAAAGATGTCATTACTTTTGCAGAGTATTCTCTGCCACGTTTGGTATAAATCATTGAAGCCACAGTATTTTCTGATGAGATGTGATGGCCCTGATTTTCCTGCTTTGTTCCAGTTCTTGTTAATTTGTAACAATGGTCCTGGTCTGTGTGCTCTTCCTGATCCCAGTGGAGCCAGTCAGCCTACCACCCCACGTGTCCAGAGTTCTAGAACCGGATATAACCAGAGTTAGCTGCCTAAGCCACCGAAGCTGCTAGCCCGTAGTAAATGTTCTGTCGAGGATGTGGTCCCAGTGCATGGCCGTGTGGCTCCTCTAGGTTTTCCAGTGGGAGCTCCAGGCCCTGTCTTTGCTCACCGGCATGTGCGTTGCCTCACTCCTAGAAGGGACTCACTTAGTTGCTTTGCTCTAAAACGTTGCTTTCCTCCTCCCTCCAATATCGAATACATTCTACAGAATGTATTGGAGATGTGTCCCTTCATTGGGAGCGCCAGGCTGATGTGTGTGCAGCAAGGCTGGCTGGGAACACCGACCCTGGGATTGCTGTTCTGCAGGGAGGCCTTCCTTTGCCAGGCGCGGGTCCCAATAGGCTGGGGCAGGCCCTGTTGTCTCAGCCTTGTTTTCCCAACTGCTGCTTCTCTGTCCTCTGAAGGACACGGAAACGGAGGTTGGCTGATCCAGCTGAGTTTGCTCAGCTATGGCAGGAGATGTGTGTTTTGGCAGAGAGGGTCATGTGACCCAGATGGGTGTGGACACCTCAGCTGCTCTCGTTGTCACTGTCCACGCACACGTGTCCCAGCCGCCGTGCTCCTTCTGGATCAGGGCCTTGCCACTCCTGCTGCTTCTGCAGCCGCCACCCTGGTCGAAGGAAGTGGGAGCTCTGCACAGAGCTGTCCCGCCCACGGCTTGTTTCCAGTTGCATCAGGGCTCCCGAGAGAACCTGGAACATAGTCTGCCTTACAGTTGTGGCAGGAGTGGCTGTGGCCTTGTCCCGACTTCTGTACAGGGGAGGCACCGCTCGTAATAGAGAGATCTCTCCCAGGTGTAATAAGGCTTTTCAGGAGCTGGGGTGGGCCCGGTGGCCACGGCGGATGTCTGCCACATAGTGTGCCGATAAAGCCAGTGCACCAGGGCCCTGGAGACTCGACTGCTCACAGCGCATGGTTGCCTGTCAGCGCCATCAGCCTTGACTCTGAGCCCGTGGCCCTCTCCTTTAACTTTGATTTGTAAAAAATAAATAAATAAATGAATGAATGACTTGTTTGCATCATTTCTCCTACAAATGATTTTACTTCCTCATTTATCAAGAACTATGTATTTCTGAAGGCCTCTCTGTGATGAGGGCGGGGGGTACACAACAAGACAGTGCGTGGGCTTTATGATCACACTGCCTGGGTTCAAATCCTGCCTCTACCACCTGCTAACTCATTGACCTTCCACAAGTTACCCTCCTGGCTTCAGCTTCCTCACCTGCCCTGTTCTTGTTGCCTATATCCTACATTTTGAAGATGAATATATGTATAGTGCTGTGATTTAGGGCATAGTCGGTCAACGTTAGCTCTGTCTCTCATTTTTGTGGAGGATTCGGTGGAAAATGGCAGATAAGATCTTGCCCTCATCAGGGAGGGTAATTATCATGTCAAATATGAGCTAAAAGTCAGTAGACCTGGATCAAGTAAAGAAAAGGGTTATAGGGAGCTTTCTCTGAGAGGTGCTCTGATCACTCTGCACAGAACACCCCCAGCCACTCCACCCCAAGCCTGCTCCTGCCCCTCCCCACCAACTGAAATCATGGCATAGTTTTTCTTTTTGGCTTGCTTTTTATCTGTGGTCTCTCCCTCGCATGAG